AGAAAGAGAGAGAGAGAGAGTAGCCATTTTGGCTCAAGCGGTTCGAGCCCCCAGCCCCGAAATTCTGAGAGTCTACCTAGTGCAAAAGGGGGAGCAACCCGGACGCGGTTGAGTGCCACGCCTTGAGGGAGCTGAGCCATAATCGTGCAGGGGGACTTCAAAGGACTTTGCGCGCTCCTGCTGAACGCTGGGGACGAGGACATAGTCAAGGACGGTCCCGCACGAGATCCTTGCCCTGCCCCTTCGGGACTTTGCCAAACCTCTCCGCCCTCGCAATCGGCGACACTTTGCATTGCGAACTTACTGTACACGATTCCGCCGGTGCTCGCGGGGTCCTAAAGAATACGTACGTTGTGCAACGTGATCCTATATCGAGCCCGAGAAGACTGCAATCTTCACATCCTGCTCAGTCGGGGGAGGTCGCTCCTCCTGCCCCAGGAGGCCCGCCGCAGGCAAGCCCTAAGAGAGCTCGCGAAGTTCTGGAGACTGCAGGGGACACTGAACGTGGGAATACTCCCTTGACCCTCGCCCTGCTGCAGGAAGCCCTACAGGTTAACCAGCAGCAGATCACCGACAGCATCCAGGAATCCATCGCCGGCATTGGACACCGAGTTGCGCAAGTTGAAGCCAACATGGGGGAACACGTCAAGCGCACCACGGAACTCTTGGATGCAATGACAGACAGACACGTCCATATTGAGCAATCGGTGAAACGAGTCGCTTCAGGTCATGAAGAACTCGCGAGGCGCCTGGAACTCCTTGAAGGCAAATTCGCGACTGCCTCTTTTTCTACTACCAGTACGACGCGCACAGACGGGGGGACAGATGCCACCCCACGACCTGCGATCGTCGTGGGAGGATGGGACAACGACCAAAGCGGGGAAGATACCCTCCGCCTCGTCAAGCAACATTTGGCAGACCTCCAATGTGACCTGGACCTCCACGATGCCTTCGTGCCTGGCATCAGACGAGGGTTTGCAATCGTCCCGATCCAAGCTCGCCGACACGAAGATGTTCCCGACTTCAGACGTCGAGTACGAGAAGCTCTCCAACGAATCAGAGAGGCCAAGATCATCACGGGCAGCCATGAGCGAAAGCCCAGAGCGACGCCGCAGAGCTCAGTTCGCTGGCAAAGTCAAAGGCCTTGTGCTACAAGAGGCAGGGGACAAAAGCCAGCTTGAGGTTGAATTTGGTACTGGGAATGTCTGGTACGGAAGAGTCCGCGTCGCATCCGCAGTGCTCACGGCTCCGGAGGAGGCAGACAAAGCAGGGGTTGGATGGATCTCCTTGCCAACCCTCGCAAGACAGATGGGGACATCGCTGAGCTCGTTGACTACCAAGTGGAACGAGCTCAAGCAGGCCTTGAACTGAGAGGAGAGCGACACCTATTCTCACCCCACGGAGCCGGACACCCAACGTGGGACTATGCAATTTTTGACCTGGAATGTTGGAGGGCTCACACCTGAAAACACCCTCCAGCTTCTCGGGGACCTTCGTAAAGAACGAATTCACCCCTTTTCCGAGCCCTTTGTCGCGCTCCTCCAAGAGGTGATTGTCGATGAGGGCAAGCTGAACTTTGAGAAGGGCAACTTGCAGATGATTGCGGGTAAGCAGCAACATGAGTGGCGGGGGACAGCCATTGTCCATACTGACGATTTCCAACGCAGCCGAACCAAGCTGCTAGCGGCGGGTATTTGCTGTACCCTCCAATGTGGAGATCTACGCCTAGCTGTCCTGTCGGGGCACATGCCGCATCATGCCACTATCCCAGAGGCGGCGGAAATCTTCCACACGTGGGACAAACAGCTCGCCAAAGAACCCAAAGGCGTCCTAGGCATGGATGCCAACGAGACTTTCTGCGCCAGATGGGGGACATCTATTATTTCCGATTCCGGGCGAGGTGAACTAATGCTTGAGTCCTTGGAAGCATTGAATATGAGGTTCCCAGACCAGGACATTTCATCGCCTTCTTATTTTCCTTACAATCAGTCAATGCATCCCCGACGATTGGACTATATCTGCACTCGCCACCTCCTTTCGGAAGCAGGTGCAGTTTTGTCTTTCCGTGACCTAGGCAGGAGTGACCACGAACCGATCCTGGTGCCGATCCTCGCATCGATCCCCAAGCCACTGCAGGCACACCTAAAACCTGGGGAACTCGCAGGTTGAGGGGACCCGCCATCGTGGCCGAGACCATTGCGAACTTTCGACCTGGCAACTCCGATCCGATCGCTCTCGTCGCCGAGATTGCCCGACAGATTACAATTCCGGGCAAGCAGATCGACGTCTTCCGGGAAAGCAAGGAGATCAAGCAATTTCGTAGACGTGTCCTCGAGATGGAACCGGGGACAGATCGCAAACAACTGTGGAAGCAGCTGGCCAAGCAACGTCGAGATGAACATCGTGCATGGCAGAACCAAAAGCTAGCCCAGGCAGGGAAGAAGCATTGGCAAGACAAGCAAGCTGTGGACAATGAAAAGCACAGTCAAGCATGGGAACTTCGACTCCGAAGTGATGACAGATGGCGGGAGACATTGACAAAACACTTCGGGCGAATCTTCCACAAGTCGGACAGCGCGGTTGTGGACCTTCACTTCGCAGTGATCCTGCACCGTATGGCGGGGCAGTGCAAACTCGTCCGGTGGAGACCTTTCACCGAAGAAGACCTAAAGGCCGTTCGAAAGCGCTGGAAGAATGGGAAAGCATGTGGGCCCGACAGCGTCTCACATGAGGCGCTGAAAGTTCTGGAACAGGACGACCACTGGCGAGGCATCCTTCTGCACGTGTTCAATGACATGTTGTATACGGCCAAGATCCCCGCTAGTATCGAGAACGGGGTCACCGTCCTTCTAGCCAAAACTCCCTCACCGGGGGACTGGAGCGACACGAGACCAATAACGCTCAGCTCGACGTTACTTCGCTCCTTCTCGCAGCTCATCATTGGCCGCGCTTCCCACTGTGTACAGGGGGATTCCCGACTTCAGTGGGCACGAAAACGACGCCAGGGCGTCGAGCTTATCCTGGTGATCCGTCGCCTTTGTCGTGTTGCTCACGACTGGGGACTACCGATGTACCTCGCGAAGCTTGACATCCGCAAGGCCTTCGACTCCATCTATCAGGAAGCCTTGGCAGAAGAGCATCCGGGGGGACATGCCATGGGAGGGACGTGCATGGGTGGCCTTATTACACGCCAAAGAGATTGAAGTGGTCTTTCGGGGGGAACATTTTCGCCTTCCCCAGTCCAACGGAGTGAGACAAGGCTCTCCTGACAGCCCCATCGCCTTTGGACGAATCGTGGCGCTGGACCTCGAACGTTCCATTCAAGAGGCAAAACCGAGCAAGCCCACAACGGGGGAGCCCCCGCCCGAAGATGGTGGATGCTTCATGGACGACAGCTACCTATGGCACCTATGGTCCACCTCGGCCCGCCACCTCCAAATGATGTTGGACAAGATGGGGACCAACTTGCCGAAGCGGGGACTCGACATCCACCCCGTCAAGACCGAGATAGTAGACAACCAGGAGGGGGGAACCCCTTTCGAAGTAGCGGGGAAGACAGTCCTCTCCAAGGGCCCTGAGCATATCATCCGACCCGTGAGCTTTCGTGGGCAACCATCGATGATAGTGGCGGAGATGCAATCCCGAACTCGAAAGTCCTTTGCGAAACACAAGGGGACCCTCATGTCCAATCCCCCTTTGAAGGGCAGACTCCAGCTGCATACTGTGCTGGTACGGCAGTCAGCATTATGGGCCTGCGAAACCTGGGGATGCAGCGACTTCATTTTGAAATGCGCAAACTCAACTCAGTTGAGTCAGGCTCGCAACATGCTGAAGCCTCCCCGCACGCCTGGGGAACCCTGGAGCGATTGGAACACCCGCACCCTGCGCAAAGCCAGGGGACTCTTACACCATCACGATATCAGCAGATGGTCCACGTTTATCCTGGCCCAAGTATGGGGGTTACATGGACATGCAGCCCGTGGGGACGAGGTCGCCAAAGCCATGCTCAGCTGGCGGAATTTACAGTGGTGGCGAATCGAGCAGACCATCCCCCCCCGCATGGGGGGGACAGAGACATGCCCGACGATTCAACCCGCGCCTCGACGTCGAGAGACAACTTGCGGCAGTTGCCGGGGAACAGTGGCAATCCCTCGCAGCAGATCGCATATCTTGGGCAGCCATGGAGGAGAAATTCGTGGAAAAGTACGACGTCCCTTGGGCAAGCGGGGGACAAGCCTCCATCGCCAACTTGGCACCAAACAAACCGGGGGAAGGAGGACATCCTTCTCGAAAGAGGCAGCGGAGCAAGAAAGTCCGTTCAAGATGATGTGGATGAAGCATGGAAGCCCTTGCGGATGACGTCATTTTGCAGCAAGGGGACCAAAGCTGTGCTCCCTAACATTTCCGTTAGTGTGATTTGGCTTCCACAGAGAGAAGTGCCACAGCTGCTTGCTGCAGACAATGCAGGCCCTTCGAAACAGTTGCAATGCTACAGAGCCTACCCACAGATGCAGATCGATTTTCACACAGGTTGCACATTTCAGACTATGTCATGTTGCAGTTCTGCCAGCATACCATGTCCTTTTGCATAGCCGGCCACCGATGCTCTCCAGATACATCTGCAGTGAATGTTGCACGGCCTTTTCCGAGTGCAGAGCCTTCAAAGTTTGTGTGAGCTTGACGAGGAGATGCGAACAAGAGCGCTTCTCGCATATCCTTGGCTTACGGCTTCATGCTGCACAATACGACCATGTGCTACCTCACCCGACATGCACTACCTCTACTACCTGACCCTGCACTACCACAACTAACCAGCGTAGTCAAGGCAGGTAGAGAACAGGAAGCAAAGCAAACACTGCGGCAGTAGCCCCAGCATGCAGCAGCCCACAGTCACTCTGTGGACACTGGCAGTACCCACAAGCACGGTGGGAATGAACCACCCCGGCCCCTTCCCAGGCACACAGCCCACTGGCGAACCCGCGCAAGCATACCAAGAAGACACCCCACACAGCAGCCGCCGCAACAGCAGCCGCCCCCCAATCCGCTGCAGCAGCCCCCACCGCCGACCGCGATGACCGCCGGCCTGGGGGATGGCCCCAGCCCCAGCAGACCCCATGGCTACCGCCATGGGTTTCCCAGCAAGCAGCCTGGGAAACCTTCGCATTAGCAGGGGAACCAAGCAGGCTTGCCCAACATACATTTCCCACCCCCCCAATACAGCCTTCAAGCCAATGCTGCTGCCTCCTTCCCACAGCAACCCCCACAGAGGCCCCTTCCCCAACCGGCAGTGCAGCACCAACCCCCGCAAGGTGGCATCAGAAACCACTTTGCGCAAGCAGCACCCCCCCTCCTTCCTCACAACCAACACTGCCAGCCCTGCAGACCTTCACCATGCACCATGCCGGCCCAACCCACCTCACAAGACCGGGCCCAGCGCAAAGCACACAGATGATGACATCCTCCCCGAACCAGGCTACCCTGGCAAGCCGCCCGTTGCCCCCCAGACCCAACCAACCACTCACAGTCCCAACCGCACCGGCCCTTGGGATCCCAGCTGGGCTGAACCACCGCCGTGGGCAATCACACAAGAGGTCGCGGCTGACCTCATCGCCCAATCCGCCACCCACCAAGCTCAACCATACATGCAACACAACCAGCCTCCCCCCACCATACCAGAACCAACATCACAGCACACAGCTGCGACGCACCCGGACCACACGGTCGACAAAACAGAGACAGGTGACAGCCAGTCACAACAGCCACCCAGTGAAACAAACCAGGCAACCCAAGCAGCAGCCCCTCCCACGGAGGAAGCAACACCAGCCATGGCGAGCAACACTGGCGACTCCGAGCAACTCCCACACCCCCAACCTCACGACCAAAGCACCAACGACGGGGGACAACATACCCACCCCTCCAACGCCGAGTCGCAACCGCAGCAGCAGCCACAAGAAGCCTCCCATCAAGCACAGCAGCCCGACTCGGGGGACACAGCAAGATGGAGACAGTCGCGAACCACGATGGCAAGCTCCAGCCGCAGATCTGAAAGCACTGCCGGACACGGCTCGCAAAGGGTGCAAAATAAAGCAGGCAAGTACACGTACAAACAGCATAACAAACGTGGTAATTGGCAGAAGCGCCCACCCCCTCAAGGTCAAGGGGGACCAGGATGGGGGTTGCTTTACAGACCCCAGGTCCCCGACAACACAGCGACAGCAACAGCAGCGACTGGCAGCAGCAGCAGCGCAACACCTTTGGAGTGGGGAACAAAAGCCTACAACGAAGCTAGAGAGCGCTTCGCTGGCCTCCTCAACAAGCACCTACTGCCTCGAGATATTCCTACTGGCGGGGGACAAGGCCCAACAAAGCAAAGCGCCGACACACCGTCGGACCCGAGCCCAGCAACTTGTCCGGCCGCCGAAGCAACCTCCACACATGACACACAAGGGGCGTCGAGCACAGACGACCACTGGCAACCCTCCACAGCAACAGCACCAGCAGAACCACCAACAGCCGCCGGGGGAGCTCAGGATGCCGAGGAAGACATTAACTGCGACGGCACCACCTACACCGCCGAAGAAAGAGCCATTCAAGCAGAATGGGCAGCAAACCAAGAGGGGACTTTCTGGTCACAGATGGAACACACCTGGCAGGATGGGGACGACATTCCCCCAGACGTGCCCCTGTCCTCCCACTCCCATGCTGACATGACGCAGCTCACACACGGCTGCTGGAGATTGGAGGTTCGCCCTGACAAGGGGACAAATTTTCGCCGGATCGCAGGCCTACCCCGCACTGTCATTGAGGGTGACGAGGGGGACACTCTCTCAGCACCACCCTTTCCCATCGGCCTTGAAGCAATCATGGCACCAATGACACCACACCACTGGATACTGACAGTACAGACCACACCCGCCCTCTCTTCATATGAAGGGGGAGCCATGCTGCTCACAGCTGGAGACCGAATCCTATTTGAACGAGATCCGGCCACCATGATTTGGCAGATACGTATCGAAGTCCAAAGCAAAGACTGCCACCCAACAGTCACCAAGATGTGCCAGCGACGAGAGGACGAAAGACAACGACAACAAGAGCGAAACGATGCACAAGCATCGTCTGCAGCAACAGCAACAGCCAACCCCTCTACAGCAGCAGCGGCGAGTGCAGGCCCGACAACCACAGCCCACGCAGCCCGACCAGCCCATGCTGCGCAGAGAGAACAGCAACAGCCAACAGCCACCGGGGGAGCGAGCGAAACAGCACAGCCGGGGGCTAGCAGCAGCAGCACCACTCCTTCCCAACATGCGCAGCGACCCGCCCAAGCTGCCCCCCGAACACAGAGACCCCCGTGTCCAACGACCGGGAAACCACACACTCTCAACACAAGCAGCGTCTTCGCATGAGACACCACAGACGGACAACCGGGGACCCAGTCGAAACACCAGCACCAGGGGCACCAGCTCCAGCGCCCTAAACGACGGACGTGAACTACGTCGATCCCAGCAAGACCGTAAACCCCCGCCCCCTACAGTCCAACCCCCACCAGCGGAGACCCCCCTAGCACAACTCCGGCAAGACGGCAGAACTCTCCGGCGAGGAGCACGAGGCACGACACCAACCACAACCACCACCACAACCACTGCCACTACCACAACCACCACAGTGCCACTTGCCTCCACATCAACAACAACTACAACAACTACAACACCGGCCACCACAGCGGACACGACCACCGATACAGAAATGCACAGCCTCATGCAGCAGGAGCAACATACCAGAGCGGCGAACAAGCAACCACGACTCCAAGACCACCCTGGACCAACCCAGCTCACCGGTTCCCTGGCGACCGAAGCAACACAGATCCAGTCACCCACCACACCCAACCCCACACCACCGACAGAAGGGGGAGCGGGTGACCATGCAGACAGCAGCGACGTGGAACTCGTCCTCCCACGACCACAGCCAAACATACCAGAGCAGCAGACGGCGACACTACAACAACAGCAGCCCTCAGCAGCAGCAAGCTCCAGCGGACAACCCAGGGGGACGAGAACGTGGGGCCGTGTGGAACAAGCGCTCGTCGACATCAGACGAATGGCAAGAGCATTTAATGACTCGCAAGGGAGGGGGGAAGCCATCGCAAGCGCAGCAGATGCTGCCTTGGTCGACCTGCTGGTGGACACACCCACAGCCCTACAACTGGAAGCCGAAGCGCCACAGGGGGGACCCAGCACTACGGCAGCCGCTGCAGCACAACACGCAGCACAGCAACTCCGTGACAGAGCTAGGACTCTCTTAGAACGTAGGGGGGACAGCCTGCTGCCGTATGCCATGGTTGCTCCACACGTTGGGGCACTGATTCGATGGCTCGAAACCCTTGATCAGGGGAACGTGGCCGTCCATGTTCAGCTGCCACCGGTGCTAACGCCCCTTCGCGAAATCCTGGACATGCTGCTTCGGGGACAACCTGGGGGGACGGCAGAATGGGCTCGACTTGTGGCCGTTGCCGATGCCCTCGAAAGCCTAGTCACTGGGAACACGCTGGCACACCCGTCTGACGTTCTGGCTCCCCATCAAGGGGGGACAGAGACACATCTACTTTGCGACGGGGAACCAGTGCCACAGTGGTATGCAGCTGTGGAAACTTTGCGAAGGCTGCTGCAGGAAAGACACCAATGGCCGGTACATGTGCTTCCAACAATCCAGGAAGCAGCACTCAATCTGGTCCGGGGGATTTCAGCCATCACTCCGGAAGAAGCGCGCTCTGGACCGGGGGACTGGACCCCAGAAGCTTGGTGGTACATGGATCGTCACCATGGACTGGGGGACGCAGCTCGCAGTCAACCAGCACGTCGAGGCATTCGGAGACCACGAAGCCCGACTCCGGACGAGAACATGTCCGATGCAAGTCATCGCCGCCGCAGGATCCTCGCGGAACATGTTCACAACACCGACTTGTGAGCTGCAGACGTATGGGGGGACATGGAAAACTCTGACCTGGCAAGCTCGGGAGCGACAGTTGTGGCTACATGTCTCAGTGAGCTCGTCTGCGAATGCTTCTGAGTGCCGTGAGAGTCGCCGTAGAGTGTCACCCGGTATCGGCCCTTTTTTCCTCGCTTGTATTCCGATCGTCTGATGTTTTGTCACCCTCATTCATGTTGTATTGCTGGGGGACGTTCTCGATACAAGAAGGCCTCTGTCCACCAAGGGATTGATACACACATGTTAGGTCCTTAGGCCTCTGCATTTATCGCTGTGCCTTTGCTTCCGAGCTACACTAGGGGGACAAACTGATTGCCTTGTACAGTTTCGACCCAAGCCCTCATATAACTTCGAGATAGCTACACCTTGAGCTGCACCCCGGGGGATGCTTTTTCAATCGTGGCCATGTTAGCTTTCTGAGTTGTTATGTTTTCCAACAAGGGGGACAGCCTCGTAAACTACCTGTTCAGGTTCCCCCTCCCACACAAAACAACATTAGTCATCATGCCATGCTTCCATGTTGTCCATGTTCGTTGGTCGCCGGAGCCTCAGATATGTGTGTGTGCAGGGGGAACTTTAGACATGTTCAGTCCTGCTCGAAGCAGCAGCAAAAGCAGAGGACGCGCCGAGGGGACTCTACGTAGAATACCGGTGCCCGCATTTTCTTAACCGCTGTTGGTAGTATGCTCGCCTTGCTTCTGTAATGAGCCCCCTCGACGATGTCAGTCCTTCTGCGAAATGTGGAGATATGCAACCACTTGCCGGGAACATTCGGGGGACAATCTTATTTCATTATAGTGGTTTTACCTTGGCAGATGGGGGAAAGTCTCCGGCAAAATTCATGGGTGTCCCAAAGATGCAAAGCCGGGGGAGTGAAGCCCCGGAAATTAGAAAATAGCAGTTTCTCACACCCCCTGAAAACCCCATGAAATTTGGGGGGCCAACTGGCCGGGGGGTCTAACCGACCCCTCATGCCATGGGGAAGAAGAAGAAGAAAGAGAGAGAGAGAGAGAGAGAGAGAGAGAGAGAGAGAGGGAGAGAGAACGAGCCCCCTTTGTTTCCTGGCCCCAAGGACCCTGCTCCCAACACAGCACACCACCACCAGCGCAGGAACCCAGCAGTGTTTGTGTTCCCCTAAAATGTCCGTTGCCCCTACCCCCTTTGCTTCCTCGGGGACCTGCGCTGCATCAGAGCAACATAGGCCACCAAACGTAGCGGAACACAGAACACAGTCTGAAAACAAGGGGACCCTTGAAGGAACCTGAAACCCTCAAGCCCTTCTCGTCGTCCTGCAGCTGCCTTTTCCGTAGCCTCGCCCCTCTTCTCTTGACAACAGGGGACCCTACCGGAGCACCCCAAACTCCCACTCTCGGCAATGCCCGGGAGAAGAGCGCGGAGTCCAGCACAGAGAGGGGTTCGGCACAAACGAAGCGAACTAGGCGGGGCTTTGTAGTTGCTCGAACTAGGGGGCCTTGTAGAAGGGCTCTAATCGTGTGCAAGTCTGTTCCGTTTGTGCCGTTTCCTCTCACACGTCTCACGCCGACTACAGGGACACCGGACGAAGGCGTAGCGCTTGCGCGCAGGGGTTGTGGGGGTAACCTCGCACCCCAAACGCCCAGCAAGCAAACAAACGAGCGAGGAATCTCCCCATCCCAGCCGTGGCGAAAGAAAGAACGAGCGAGGGAGAGGGCGAGCGCTCTGTCATTTTCGGCCTGCTTTCCCTCCTGTTCTGCGCCGCCCGAGACTGAAGCAAAGCCAGGATGCATTGGGGGCACCGGATGACCTTGATGCAACGCTTTGCACGTGGGTTTCAGGTGGGTGTCGCCTGCTCCTTCAAGCATCTTCAAGCTCTTGTGCCGCCTTAGTGCGATTATTGAACTATAGTTGTGCAACGTTCGCCCTCGTAAACCCTTCACGCGTTTGTGACCAGCTACGGGAACGGCATCGCGACTGGCCCCGACTATGACTTCCAAGACAAGCGGGGCTAACCGCTAACCCTGGGGCTGCAGGGATCAGCAACTTCAGTGCCAGTGCCTCTGCACCAATGGGGGGCGACCCCAACTCTCCCAGCAAGCGGCCGTGTCGAGGTGCTAACGTTGCAAATGTTCCAGGACACGCTCCGAGGAGGGCTAAGCCGCGAAAGAGCACAATTGCGGAGGGAGATGCTGGGGCATACCCGCACCTAACTAGTGTATCTTGGGGGGGGGGGAGGACCCTCCCCCGAATTATAGCTCGACCGCCGGGGAAGGTATCCTAGGGGGGGTTGGTTGATGTTGGTTGTGACGTGTTGTTGATCGATGTGTGCCTGTGTGAGTCCTCGGAAGCATTTCTCCCGGAGATTCATGCACGAATGACGAACGAGATTCCCACTGTACTATCTCGGCCGCCAAGCCGGCAAGACGTCCTGCTTGGAGTGCAGTGCATGGAGATCCTGAAGAAGGAGGAAGGCCTGGTGACCACGACTCGGGGCAAGCCCGCGTCGGAGAAGCCGCCGAGCCACCGCAGCCTGACAGGGGGGGGGGCCGCTTGCATGTTTTCGCCTGCAATCTCGAGTCCTTTGGCGGGGAGCCGTCGTCACGTTGTTTGGGCTTGCCTTCGCTCCTCAAGCCCTCAGTCTTTTCAATTCGTCTTGTTCGTACATGCCGCACAGACCAAGCACACGGCCGTGCGAATGCGCACAGGGAGCTCACCCTAAAGGGGCGTTCTCAGGGCTGGAAAGCCTGGAAGCAAGCAAGCAAGCAAGCAAGCAAGCAAGCAAGCAAGCAAGCAAGCAAGCAAGAGCGAGAGAGACATCGAGAGGGGGAGACAGAGCTAGAGCAAAAAAGGAAGCAAGGAAGGAAGGCAGGAAGGAAGAAAGGAAGGAAGGAAGGAAGGAAGGAAGGAAGGACGGAAGGAAGAAGGAAGGCAGCAAGGCAGGCAGGAACACTTGCCTTATCTTGAACAGGAAGGTATGCACAGCGCTCAAGCAACTTACTCTTGTCGCGATTCCCTGTGCAGCCACCTTGGGCAACAGCACTCGACTCGGATCCCTCCTTCTCCTTCATTCGTCGGCATGGCGCGTGGCTCCTGGATACTCTCTTCTTGCAGTTTCGGACCCTTGGGACGAAGTGAACAGATCAGGTGGCCAACTTGCTCCAACAGTGGAAAGGTGGGGCGCGCGGCCCTCCAGGCAAAAGCGAGGAGGCAGGTAGGGAAAGGAGCCGATGATTCTTGCCTGAAGAGATTCGACAGAGGCCACGCTGTTGGCAGCGATGCTGCGCGTGGACCCCGTTCAACGAAGCACATCGGACGAGGCGCCAGCTTTTGTCAAGGACCCTTTTACGAGTCTTTCGTGCCTGAGCCTTCCGCGCCCAGTGTTTGCGGAACCCATGGCTGGAAGCCGTGACGCGGAATCGTTCCAATACAGCCTGAGATCTGCTGCTGACCTCAGATCAGAAGTGGCGGAAGAAATGAGCCTGCTAAGTAATTCTGCGCTGCTCGGTTCCTAGGTGGTTCTACCTTATGCAGCCATGGCCGCAGCTGGTGCTTCCAATCCAGGGCCTCCAGGGGCAACTCCTGTGGTGGCACGAATCTTCCTAGGTATAGTGCGATTTGTACAGACAGAATTATCCGAGTGCGCTCCAGCAAAACCGAAGCATTTGACTGTGGATCCTGCCTGGCACTACTTTCCACCTCGCAGCCGTTTACTTAACGCTTTACATACGTGTCCTTGCATTCCGATCCTCAGCAACGGTCACCAGGCGATATCCACAGGCCAGTGAGGCTTCCGGTCTTGTTGTTCGATCGTTTGAGGAAGAGTGCGAAACCCGGTTGCGATTTGAAGATGCATGTGTACAGCGAAGAAGCGTGAGGTGAACTGGCATAGTGTGATCTCGAAAAGTGTCACTGCACTCGCGAGCTTGCATTTGGCGCTGGTCGTAATTCATGGAACGGTTCTGGCATCCTTCCTGGCTTGCTTGCAACACCCGGCTCTCAGGAGTTGTTTGTGAACCTCTGGTGCTGTGCTTCGAACGGTGAAGACAGCGAAACACTACGAAACTTAGGTTTCAAGTCTGCAGTCTGAAGTCCAGCGTCACTTCTCTTTCACCTTCATTCTGGCAGACTTGGGAACATGTGGAGGTGTTCCAACCTTGCTCAAGTCTGCCCCTGCAGACGCTCCATGTCAGGCCCTGCATCATTGCAGTATGGATGCTGGCCTGCAAGAATGTCGAGGCTTGGCATTCAGAGCTTTCAAGGCCATCTAAACCCGAGCATTTCGAAAAGGCAGTGCGACCTGAGCGAGAGTTCATCAAGGGGCGTCGCGACAATGGCCAGCGCCCCGAGAACCATGGCTTGCGGCTTGTTCCACACTTGCAGCCTAGGCCCCATAGTCATCGACAAGGCTGAATGTGTCGGCTCTAAGAGGAGTCTGTGCAGTCAGCAATTTGCAGGCTGAGTTGCAGAGGATCAGTGATGCTTTGAAGGCTCTTGGGATTTTGTTTCGATTTCTTGTAGGTTCTTGCAGTGAGAAATGTTGCTGCCCAGAACGGGGACTTGGAGACCGCAGCTGCTTCCAAGATCCAGATAGGCGGTGGCACACAGGCACAGGAAACTTGCCCACGTGGATAGATAGCAAGCCCAAAACGGAGCCCTAGATCCGCAAAGACGTTACGACGTATTTCGGCTTCTCTGACTTAAGACCGGGGAGTCTTGCGCGCCAACGTGAAGTGTGATTGGGTAGAGAGTGGCCCATGATCAGGCCGCAGATGGGGAAAAACAGATCTCAGATAGTGGAGACAAAGAGGCCGAGAACGCAGAGTCTCTAGCTCGGGATCCGACCGGGGACACTCCGAAGACTGAGAGCCCTGCGAAAGACAGCCCAGCCGCTCAGCTCAAAATGATACCCGAAGCCCAGGTCTGGGGTCCATACGATGCTGTGGTATCGTATCATCTCATGTAAATGCACTGTGATAGCAGCAGAGGCCCCTGGGAAGCCAGAGGACCCATCGCATGAAAGGCCCTGGCTTCCTCAAGCAAATTGTGCCATGTTAGGACAAAGCGAAGGAATCCAGCAAGGAAAGCAAAGAACATCAGGCGCATCCAATCAGAATCCTAGACATTCACAAGCCTTAGCCCTGGCACAGGCTCAGTTGCATGTCTCTTTCGAGGCAGGAGATCATCTGACTGGCCGCGACTGTAGAAGTGCGACTCGTCAGGAGCTTTCCAAGTCTCACAATGACATGGACCGCGTCATGAAGCAGTACAAGGAGGTTGCAGACAAGGCAAACCGCTGTGTGCGCAAGTCCTTCGGATCTCCAGAGCTTTGGCTTCAGGGAGAGCAACGAGCCGCCAAGTTTGTCGATGTGATGGGTCCAACGCCTACAAAGTCTACGGAGAGCTTAGGCTTGGAAACTTTCCTCCCGTCTTCAGAGGCACTTACCAGACATCGCTTACTGGCTTGCGCGAGCCACTGCGACGAATTTCCAGCCAGGCCGGGCTTTGACTAAATTCGCGAATGCGCAACTCCTTCAGCGTTTCTGGCAGTGTTGCAGGTGACGGAGCTTCAATCCAAGATCGTCACGAAGTTGGAGGCGTATGCGCTGGCTTCGTCCGGCTGCTCGAACGTGCCCTTTGGCAGGCCGATGAGAAGGAGCGCATGGAACCTCTGAATAGTGTCGCGCTCAAGTTGTCGGTAGACCGTGTAGACTCCAAAATTCCAACTCGCATGGCGAGGCCTTCAGGATGAACTGGGACCTTCCGGCAATGAATCTGCCAGCCACGAAGGCTGAGTCGTGAGGTCATGTCATCGCCTTGTGGTGAGACGTGCTCGACAAAGACTTGCAAAAGCAAGTGGAAAACTGTCTGTGTAGTTGATGACGACACTGTGCATCCTTCGAGCACTGTTCCTGTGCAATTCATCTTGCAAGCTGTTTCGTTTTGGCGGCTAAATGTGGGCTCAGAAAGTTTTCGCTAGCTCGAGGGGAAATGTCTCACACCAATTTTTTCTTTCATGGCTTCAGCTTGTGCGAGCCATGACGCGCTGACCGGGTACACACCTGCAGCCCACAACCTCGCGTTTCTGGACGCAAGCCAGAGAGCTCCGGCCGTTCGTGGACTGCTGTACAAGGAGCGCGAGAGGCAGGGCTTTTGCCAGCCGGTGCCCCCTCGGCCCCTTGGCCCTTGCCCAGCTTCGCCACCAGGCCGCAGCGAGACAATGCTCACGTGCACTGGGATGAGCAGTGCATCGCAGAGCACGACAAGGTCGGACAGAAGACTTGACAAAGCAACTCGGACTTTGCTTATCTGGGAAGGAGCGTGGTACTCGCCAAAAGATCGACGAGCCTGCGCCTTTGAGCAGTGTGCTCCATCAAGTTTCCGCGCCTTGCGCTCGCCGCCGCATGGAGCGTCCTCCGCGATCGCGTTCCCGGGGCATTATGACCATGGCGATGAAGAAGCTGATGATAATGCCGAAGACCCACCCACTCGCCGAACCACGCACACTCTCTCTGTGTGCGTGTGTGTTTATTTCTGTACGTATGTATGTATGTATGTATGTATGTATGTATGTATGTATGTATGTTTCTCTTTGTCTCTCTGTCTGTCTGCCTGCCTGCCTGTCTGTCTGTCTGTCTGTCCGTCTGTCTCTCTCTCTCTCTCTCTCTCTCTCTCTCTGTATATACATATATAATACATGTATACATATGTGTAGTACAAATAAGTGCAAACATGAATCTGAAAACAATATGTACGGACAGGGACAGAAGTCAGAAGCCAAAAACAGGAGGGACTCGAGGGACCTGCAGTCGGACACCGGTCCATGTATCAGGCCAGACACTCCTTTCATTCGCAGCCCTGAATCTTCGAGTGACGCCTGGGACTGAGCGGCACTCTTCAAAACGCACGTTGCCCTCTCGAAGGGGTTTACCCTAATTGCTCTGAGGAGGAGGAGGCTTTCGTGGGGGACTTGCGCTTGCAGAAGACTTCTATCATCTCGGGTGCTAGAGAAGTGCAATCGACTCAGTGCGATACATCGTGAGTCTCTTGAGGCACCTTCGACGTCGACCTCCTCCAAACGACACGAAGAGCTCGTCACAACCTTGTTGTAGCGGATCGTTCCAGGGAGAAAAGCGAGACAGCAATCCGGAGATTTCTGAGGACGATGAGACGAGGTGACCTGTCGGCTGGCGATGCCTGCTTGCCTTGGCCGCCTTCTTGACCCCGAAAGGATCGCCACGTCGCCAACTTCGATGGCGCGCGGAGAGCCCGTGTCGTCTCGGAGGCATTTGGCATTTCTTGCCTTCGCCAGGCTGCGCTGGCCAATCGCCTTAACCAGTGGGTTGAGAGCGGCGAGAGGTGCCAAAGCGTGACTTTTGTGCCAGCTTTGACTCTTTGAAACCGCCGGTGATTGCCGGCCCGAGAGGCACGACTTGTCTCGGAGTGCGGAGGGCGAGGTGGGTCCGCCGGGCCCGGGATGCTCCAAACACAACACGCACCCCATCCGACCTCGACTGAGCTTTGTAGAGAACGCGGAATAACGCGGACGGAAGGTGACGAGCAGGGAAGGCGAGGCATCCAGGCAGCCCATGGCAGCGCCGCGCAGTCTTTGTTGGCACATGTTGGCTTCTTGGGAGGTCCGGGACCAAAAGTGTCCCAAGCAAGATCCGCCTCCCAGAGGCTGCCCCAACACAGGCAGCACCAACTCTCCTTGTTTCGTGTTTTGGCAGGACGAAGGCCAGCAAAAAGCCTCGACATCTGAATTCAAGGATCCCAAGATCTTGACAAGCCTTCTTTTCTGGCTTCCCAAGTGTTGGTGAGGCAAGACGGGCAAAGCACTACAACGAATTTGCTGCAGTCAAGGTCTGCGTGTCTGACAGACCTGAAGCTTGGTGTATCAAACTTTGACATGCGGTGCTCTCTGTCCTGGCGCAGGCTCTCCGGAAGAAGGAGTCCCGCAATGGTGTGGTTTATCTGACGTTGCAGACAGTCTCTGTCCCATAGCTTCAGCTAGTTCGGGCTGACTGGATTGGGGTTTCAGCCAGAAATCTAGACGCCGAGAGTCGCATTCCGACGTGAGCTCGGCGACGGATCACGCAGCTTCGGCTGCCGAAGTAGGCAGTTTCACTGATGGCGAGGCTGGTAGCCGGCTGTTTGTCCAGATCCTGGACGTAGCCGCACGAGAGAACAAAAATGCATGAATTCTTGAAAATTGAAAACATTTCAGGTAAAAGATGCAGACCAAACTTTAGGGGGCTCATGGGGGGAGCCAGAAACAAAGCAAACCAACAGAAAGGGGCGCATATGACTAGACAGTAGCAGAAGGGGGCCATAGCTTACGAACAGCCAGAAACCTAACTATCACTAGTCCAGGCGTGCAAACTAGCAGTGGGGAACAAACCAACACATCATAAGCACCGTTCGTCAGTTATTTCAAAAGACGCTAGCAGGACCAGTGCGACAACGATCCAGACGGTGACCTCCTACAAGGCATAGCGTAGTTTCTTCGACACTTAAACCTCTCGGCATAAAGTATCACAGCAAACAGCGGAGCAAGACCAAAAATGGCCAGAGAATAGTATTGCCCCATTACTGGCGCTGTGACCCCGTGCCGACCCTCCACGATGCTCACTTTCATGCTTAGGCCATCGCCTCTGGCCAGATTTTCTCAAGCACGCGCGTGTGCCCCACTAGGCAGGTAACGGGCCGGCCTGACTCCTAACTCTTTACCGGGGCCGAGATGACCGCGGAGAGCGTCTGAAATTCAAACATCTTTGACCTGGTGGCTCTCTTCCGAACCACGAAAGGTGACGATGATAGGCCAAGCTTTGCCCTCCAGTGGATGAGGTCGCTCCGCCTCAGCAATTGCCTCAGCACCAGCAGCAGTTGGCCCATTAGCAACAGCACCCACCAGCCATTCAGACAATATGTCGTAGACTTGGAGCTTCCAGGGCTTGGGCTTGGTGACGGGTCTTTGGGATGGCTCCAGAACCGTCGTGCGTTTCCATTCAGCCCATCTCCGAGCAACTCGGTCCTTAAGGCCCCCGCCAACGAAATATACAAGCCCCTTGCCTGCGGAATAGCTGCCGAAGCGAAACGCGGATGTACTGGCAAGATGGGCTGTATGCAAGGGTTTCCACTGCCCTGATGTGGTCTCGAAGATGATCGTCATCATGAACATCGCGCTCACGCTCACGATCCCTTTCGCGACGATCACGGCCATCTTGTTTGTCACGCGGCATGGCGAACGAGACATTCGTGAAAGGACACCACAGGACTGAGCCAAGACTCACTGGACGTGCGCACTTAACCTGTGGACAACAAATTCCCTATCGGACGTAAACCTGTTCTGCAACCCGTGCTGAAAGCAATGCGGAAATGTACTGGGCAGATCTTCAGCATTGTTTCTATGCGCGGCAGCAAGATGTAGTCTAATCATATCCTTGCCAGGGAAGAATCCTTGACAGCACGGGCACACAAACTTCAACGCACCTGGCTCATGCAACCGAAAATGTTGTGTCATAGCACTTTCCCGTTCGAACGAACGACAACAGTGTGGACAGTCCCAACCTTTTTTTCCCTGTATGTGCCCTGCGTGTGCTTGAGGATCACATGATACGCAAGGCCCGACCTAGTGGTATAACTACGCGTACAACCCGGAAACTGGCAAGCAAACTGTGCACCCACCCGATACTCGTGTACAGGTGGCTTCCAATACTTAGTTCGCATACGAGTTACCGGTTCCCGTAGGAGCAGCCACCTCAACAACCCGTTCCGGAAAAACCTCTGTACGACGCTGCTTGTGCCTTAGCCTACGACGAACAGGCAGTAGTGGCGACGAAAAGTCTCTGACAGCCATGATCTGGTGAGACATGTGAGAGCCAGCGGTAGCGGATCAGATTCCGTTCATGAGTTCTAGCGGGCTCCCAGAAGGGCTCGTCCATTACCCGAGTGAAAACATCATCAAACTCTTCCAGAAACCACTCCTCACCAAGTTGGGCGCAGGCTTCAGATTCAAACAGAGTCTGTAGTGGTACTGGCGCATTGATGTCCTCAAGTTCAAAAACCCGGACGCCTCGGTTGCTTGTGCCGTGATCCTGTCATTTGCCCTATGTACCGCAGCCGCAAAAATTCTATCCGGATGCGCCGTGCGTTTTTTCAGGATTTTACCTAACTCCGCTTTTTTGTTTGGTATATCGGCATTTGGCCGTGGGTGCATAGGTCTATACCTCAATGCAACTTTCCTGGTAGCCAACCGCCAGTCGTCGCCATTATTCCTAATTGCAAATTGTGTCCAAAGCGCAAGAGGTATTTCCGCCACACGCATAGCTTCCACTAAAGTTTGACGATACCATTTACCCTTCAGCCTACCCGGAAGGTGTTGTGTGCCAATTGATTCGGGCAGGAAAGCACAAATAATCTGTCTAGGCAATCGATCCTGCGGCATGTGGGCAACGTGGCCAATCCAGTGAAGCTGGTGCTGTGTGATAAGCGCGATGATATCCGGAGGGCCCAACCAGCCCCTAAGGGTATCATTACTCAGGTGCCAATTTTGCTGCTGCCAGTGCGTGACCCGGCTGATAACACGTAAACAGGTCATATAGAACAAGCGTAACTTGTGTCTAGCAGTAAAGGTAGTCGTCCACGTATCGCAACCGTACAACAAGACTGACGGCATGCCAGCACGAAACACTAACATCTTAACATCAAGCGAAAGTTCCTGGACATACCATACTGCGGAAGCTTGCTTCCAAAACGCCTTCCTAGCTTGTTCAATGTTGTGCATTATATCCGGTGTGCAACCACCATCAAATTTAATTTGGCATCCAAGATACTCAAAAGTTTCGACAAATGCAATTTTATCCTTGTCCTGCTGCGATAGAACCGGGATCGCAGCCTCTGTCTTAACGACAGAATGTCAAGCCCCAGCTGCTCACATAAACCTGGAACTCCGGAGTAAGACATTTCAGCATCCCGTAGCAGTCCCCGAGAAGGCCCAGGTCATCGGCATAGCCAAGATCCGGGACGGAGCAAGTCTCATGCGAGGCATACCTATCAAGTTGTACCCGATGTAAGATGCCGTCAACACGAGTATGCCAGTCAAGACGTCGATCCTCCAGCAATCGCCATTTTTCCATAACTGCATCAAACGAAATTTGTAACAGTAACGGTGCAACGCAGCATCCCTGGCTAAGACCGGTCGTTAACGCAAAAGAGTCCGTTGAGCATCCTTTTGTTGTTCGTAGAACGTCTTAAGCAAGGCAACAAGGCCTTCCGGAATCCCTTTAGTGCGAAGAATGCGCCACAATCCATCGCGTGCAATGCTGTCATAAGCGGTAGCCAAGTCGACAAACACAACAAACAATGGATGATCTTTAGCACGTACAATTTCCTGTGCCATCCAGAGGAGAAACACCATATCCAACGTGCTACGCCCAGCCCGGAAGTTAGCTTGAGTCTCAGGCATACGGTTGTGTGCTTCAGCATGTTGAACAGCTCAGGTCCCCTTTTTTGGGGATCGGGGTGAGATAGTGTTCAGCCCATTCGTTTGGCATAGGCGCTGCACCAATCCATACACGGCAGATATGTTCATGCATCACCCGCAAGTTCACCATAGATAAACGTTTAAGCAGTTCAGCATCAATGCCGTCAGGGCCAGTGGCCTTACAATTTTAAAGGCGCTGAACAGCTGCAGCCGTTTCCGCGAAGCATGGGGGACTCCCAAAGGTATCATCGGTATCCACTCTACTTAAAGCATCGAAGTGCGCCGGCTTGACAGACCCAGGCACATTCAGTAGTTACGCGAAGTATTCACACCAATGCTGAGGACGATCAGGCTGAGCAAGGATAAGACGGCGTTTTTTGTCTCGCAATTTATTGGGCGTCCTGCATACAACGCATTTGGCTCCTTCCCATCCACCGCCTCCTGTATCGCCTTTGTCATATTCTTGCGGATTTCTCGCCTTGTTTCCTTGCAGACTTGTCGATACATCCCGCGACTCCCCCCATAGGCAAAGGAGGCATAAGCCGTTTTACACTGTTGACTGAGCTCCGACAAACGAGAGGCATTATCTACTTGCCAAGCGGGCTTGTTTTGGTGCCGTGCGGTTGCGCCCCGAGTGCATCCTGTGCAAACAAACGGACAGCATACGACCACAACGTATAATCATCCACCAAACCTTCGATCATGCTATCCTGTAGTTTGTTTTGATTTGGCCAGCTGTTTCCGAGGCTAGACGCCCGACTTGTAAGCGTGGAATACGTGTTTCTTTTGGCATCGACGGACGTGTTGACATGCCAAAACGCCAAGAACGAGGCGGAAAACGCAGCTTAACCTTGACCATACGATGATCAGTATCAAAACCAAAGCCAGGCATGGTTTTGACGTCCATAGTAAGAGGCATAGTGCGCACTGGTGCCAGGACATGATCAATATGATGCCAACGCTTGGCCTTGGCCAGCATCCATGTACCATAATGCTTATGCTGCAAAAACGTTCCTGCCACTAAGTAAACCATTGGGCGAACCTCCGCAGAGACTTAACAATCGTTCTCCATTGTCAGTGAGGTGCCCGAGGCCGAACGACCCCATAGCATCAGTAACATTGACCGTGGCCGACCCTGACATGGCCGAGTGTGTAGTAGTACCGACCCTGGCATTAAAGTCCCCCATGACGAAGACTTCTTCACCACTGCGTACCGTGCCTAGCAACTCCCGAAGCTTGTCATAAAGAGCATCCTTCTCCGCCGCTTCAGTGTTAAACGTAGGTGCATAAACCGCAAAAATTTTCACGACACGTCCCTGCAGTAACAGTTTCACCTGCAATAAACCACCGCCCTCGCAACGACAAAACTGTCCCGCCGCCCTCCACGCACGTTGCTTTTCAATATTCATGCAAACCAAAGTTCATGCAAACAGCAACACCTTGCATGCTTTGGGTGCAGTTTCAGGTAGGTCCGAGAAAACATACATATTTTCACCACATACTACGGTGCTTTTTCCTTTCCATCGGTGCTCGGACATGCTCGGAGATACAGCAAAGCGATATGCCATGCGATTGTAACAGCTCAAACAGAATATCATGCTTGTCAATATCAGTCCCCCGAAATGTCAAGTCCACGTCATTCCCGACAGAAACCTGGCTTGCGAATGTGCGTACAGTCAACGCCCCCCAATGATGCTGCTGACAGCGGCGCCGCCAGGCTTTGGGGGTACTCAGCGCCTGTCGCGCTTCACTAGTTGAACCCCATCACCCCCTGGGCAAGGTCGAGCTTTCTCGTCGTGGTCTTGGACAAAAGGAAGTAAGGCCCTGCCGGCTTGTCAGGCCGACAGGGCCATTGGCGATAGTCCGGTGCCCCCTGTCCGTGGGAAGGAGGTCCCGGGCCCTCATCCGAACCACCGCCCCGCGCCCCGCGTTAGCACTGCCATCTGACAACAAGCATGAAACAATTACATCGACAGGCAGAGGTCCACCCCATCACCCGGAGCAGAACAAACAACAACTGGCCTGCCTACATCGCGGCCTGCTCCTTCTTTGAGGTGGGAGAGCGTCTTGATCGGGCAATGGCGAGGTGGGTCCTCTTGTTGTCGACACAAAACATCCTGAAGCACAGGCTGTGTTGGGCGGAGCAGACGCCGCTCCAGCTCCGGGCATTGCCGACCTGGAGACACTTGACCCCAGGGAGTCTCTAGACTTTTTGCCAGAGGAAACACCAAGGCTTTCTAAGCAGGCGCAGACGGAGAAACTCAATAGCGACAGTGGAGCTCCATCCACTTCAAGTTTGCGTACTGCCTCTGCATCGGTCAGAGCCAGCCCTCTCACGAAAGGCCAGCACGGGAGATGCCCCTCCAGACATGGCTCTGCCTGTGGAACCTTCTCATAGTGGCAGAGTGAGCACTACTGAGGAGAACGAAGATATAGTAAGTAGATAACCATCGTAATCGGCGCCATGCCCACCTGGAGGACGAGGAGCTAGGGGGCACCGAGCGGCAAGTGATCACTGCTTCGGAGTTGCGGCGCTGCATGGAATTTCTCATGCATAGAATAGCTGCCGGCATCGCCGCGGCCAAAGCAGTGGATTTTCACGAGGCAGCAGATGCCAGCAGAGCAAAGAGCGGCAGCACAGCCAGCACCTTTCTCCAGAATGTAAAAACGGAGGATGCTGCTGTACCAGTAGCCGTCTTCCATGTAGGAAGGCATCAGAATGTTTCCGAGTTCATGCGGCTGCCGCACAGAGGAGATCTGAGGCATGAAAAAAGCGTCACAAATGCGGACCTCCTCACGAAAGCCAAGAGACCATGGCCTTTCTTGGCAGATTGCAACAAAATCTTGAGGTCGGTGGTCGACCTGGTCTGATGCAACTCGCCGTATATCATTCTTCCACGACCCATGAGTTGCATTAAACCAGGCTGACCACCGACCTCAAGCTTTTGTTGAAGTCTGCCAACAAAGACCAAGATCGAAAGCGAGCCAGTAAGGCTCGACACTTTGAAGCATGCAAAGAGTGTCATGGACGATGCCTTCTGGAACTTCCTTGTCGGTGTGATGGGCATGTCCAAGGTGGACTTGTTGAAGCTTAGTGTGGCAGTTTCGATGTGTGCGACATCAGGCTTTCGAACCCACCTCTTTGAGGCCGAGCTGCGGACGGTGGCCGAGCTCGACTTGGACACTCTCAAAGATGACCTTCAGCACAAGTCCCAACTAGGAAGAGGAGCAGGTCTTCGCCTTGTCTACCACCTTCGGCTGCTTTCGGCTCCTCCGGAACTTATGGCAGCGCGCATCAAGCCTCGGTCACGCCGAATGACTTCCTTACGTACATGCATATGCAGATGGGATCGTATCGTGTCGCGCCTGCATGCCAGCAGGCCCAATGGAAGCATTTGTGCAGCAACTTCGGCGCTGAAGGGTGGGAGGGAAGCGTGCTTCATGGAGCCAGTTGCTTCCAAAAAATGTGAGAAAAGAAAGAGGCGAAGCCGAAGAAACGGCCGGCTGACAACGAGCGTCGCCATGCTTTCATTGGTTTATGTATCGGAGCTCTTGTCTATACTTCTTTTGTGCTTGCTGCTTGCCAGGGCAGCCAGCGATCTGTGTCCACGCGTACATCTTGAAGATCTCTGAAAAGTGCCTTTGTGACTGTGCTTCCAACGCTCCCTTTTCCAGCAACTGAGATTTTACTATCTCCCCTTTCCAGCACTTCAATTTTTAGTATTTCCCTGCGCAGGTGGAGGCTCTACCGTGCCAACCATGTCTGAAACTTGTTTGTGCTGCAGCTCGGCTTCAGATCAGTGCACGGTGCAGATTGGTGCGGAGTACATGTCAATGCCAATCTGTGCTTTCAGCATATCAGATATCCAAGACGAACGTCCCATCTTTGTGAACTGCACGGTCTTCTGTGGGTCGAGCTTAGGTCTACATTATATGTTGATGGGGTTTACTTACGTCATAGCATCTCCAGGGTATGCTACAGATTCACGGCCACCTTTAATGCAGTCCTTCTCTCGTTTCTGGACGACGGCGGACTGCACTGCAAAATCAAAAAAGCTCTCGCGGGCGTTCTGCAGCCACAAAAGGCGAGCCCCAGTCCCATCCTTTCTCCGGAAGAAGGAGCCCGACAGCGACAGCAGCGTGGATTCGGACACCTCAGACGAGGCGAAAGCAGCCGAGGCCCAGGCTGTGCCGGCAAATTCAGCTGCAAGGAAGCAGCTGCCAAGAAGGAACGCAGAGCACAAAAGGCCAGAAACTGAGTTTTCGCGGTGCTCCTCGGTTACTGAAGCTGCGTTTTTCCTCGAAGGCGAAATCTACGAGTGCTGAGGATGGTCAAAGCACCAAGTGTAATTGCCTAGATTCTCTTCTGACACACCATGTTCACAGCATTTCGCGGGTCTCAGGTCAGAAAAGCAGGTCAGATGGCATCAATTCCGGTGCAGGCAAGCGTGAAGGCGACTCAGAGGACTCCATGAGTTCCGGCAATTTCAGGCTCTGCTGTGAGCCTTCCAGACAGGAGACTTCGTCCGGCTGGCCTGGGGAGGAATGCGAGGTGGCTTGTGGCTGTTTATGCAAGGCCATGCAAAACCCCACCCGACATGAAACGTCTCAGGCATCTTTCGTGCCCGGATCCTCGGAGTGGCCGCTGAGTGGTGGCCGCTGTGCACTCGCACAGCCGACAGCTGAGGCAAGGTAATAAAGCGCTTCCAAATCCGATGGAAGTCCTGGCCTCAGCAGCTGGCTTCGTGGCTTTGCCCGGTGGTGTTTGATTGTCAGGGTGGTCGCCCACCGGTGCAATTCGGAGAGGATCCTTTGGAAGCCGGAAGTCGCGTCATGTGACCGCCTGTAGCCAGACCTCTCACCGGCGACAGGACGCGCCAGCCGGCACTTCGCTGCCATCTTCCGAGTTCCTGGCGCAGAGGCGAGCTCACTATGACGAGGCTAGGGGCCACACCTGCAGATGGCTGGGTGCTTTCTCCCTTCCCGCACCAGGGCGCAGCTCTCCGCAGCAAGCACTCGGAGGCCATTCGAGTCACCCTTGACCTAAGATGCATAGTCGAGCTGGAAGGATGGAGCCAGTCCTGGAGGCTTGAGTACCAAACTCAATATCCAGAGCAAAGGGTGAGGCGACCTGCCCTAATGCGAGCCTCCCAAGGCGACATGGACAAGTCAGCGGCAGCAAACCCCATGGATCCCACGGAGCCACATGAAGCCGCCGTGAGCTTCAAGGTTCCACTCGTGCGCAAAACGAATTAGCTTAAGTTGACGAGCCTTGCCAACAACCAGAACGCTGATGTTTAGCGGCCTTAGATCCTGCAAACAGCATACCGAGGCGTTTTGCGCTCGCCTTGCAGCGACATGTTCGAGAGTCGCTTCTGCCAGGTGGAGACTGTCTCGGGTGATCACCAAGGTTGGCCTGTCATTCCTTTTCTTGCTCCTTTCCGGGATGGATGTTAGGCAGCGGCACAGATGCATGGAGGCCGTATGCTGCTGGCCACTTGTCTTCTGCGACTTGCCGCCACTGCGACAGGTCGAAGCGCAACGCGCACTACCGCGACATGGCAGCAGCTTTTCGCTCGAAGCCTCCCGTCTCTGCCCGCGCCTTGTCCAGGATGTCCGGGTCTTAGGTTGTCGAGGCGTAGCCTGTTGGCTCAGGACGGTGACAGCGAGGATAGTTCGTGACCTTGGCAAACCATGCCAGCTCTCTTCCAGCCAAGTGTCTGGACAGTTCCATGTACAGGGTTGTAGCAAGAAGTGGTGCCCGGTATTTAAGCACGAGGAGTCTTGTTGTTACTTAACGCAAATGGGCCTGGTTTGTTTCAAGCACCCGGGCCTCTAGAGACGTGCGAAGCACTCTGCCAAGCAGCACCACAGGCAGCGATCGAGCTGACGGAAACATCCGAAAAGATATCCAACTTCATGGGCTTGGAGTCCTTGCACATCTTCCGGCACATGGTAATGTTGATGTAGCCAGGAACATGATGAAAGGAAGCTGCAAATTCTCTCGCAGAGATTCAAGCCGTGCGCTGGAAGCAAGAGGTGTAAGCATCTGACATATCTTCAACGGTTAGAGTTCTGTGAGTGACCGGATTGCATTGAACACACCGAGTCCAGCAGACAACTGGCATTAACCCTGTCTTTTCTGGACAGGACCCTCCTGCCCCAGCACCGCCAAACTCATGCCAGCTGCGCAACTCGTGCTTCAGGGAAAAGTTGGAGTGGGAACAGATAGAAACAGCAAGGGATGGCGACCTTCAATACCTGGCTGTTTTAAGGTGTCTGCCCTTGCAAACCATGCACTTGCTGCGATACTGCATGTTTGATGTGAATGGTCCACTCTGCCTGCTGTCGCCGCCTGGGTTTGGTTTCTGGCATGTGGCATTTGTCTCAGCAAAGCGTATAAGCGTATGTGTATATATACATATATATATGTTGAACATCTTGGAAAGGAAGCATAATCACAGCAGAAACTCATGCAGCGGCCGTGTATCAGAGAGCAGTCAAAACACGTTTCACTTTTTCATGTCTCGAGATAGGTGTGTCACATCTTGTACTGACCCTCCGAGATAAAGGCCATGTCAATGCATCGGCTCCTGTCGAGGGCCCTCCCAACGGGGTATAGACAGTCTCGCGACTCACACAGCTCCTCGGATGAGGAATCTGGCTTGTCCGAAAAGGTTGAAGAGCTCCTGGAGCAAACCATTTCTTTTCACGGCTCGCACACGCAGTTTTTCATCCGTCTCTCGCTTGCTTTGTCTGTCGCGTTCTGGGTCACCCTCTTCAGCTTGCCGCTGTACTTTGGGAAGCTGCACTACATAGTCTTCGGGTTTCGGGGAGAGCTGCACGAGACCTACTCCGCGTATGGCCGAGATCCTGCCTGCGAGAGTGGCATGGTCGGGAAGATGAGAAATATCGGAAGCTTTTCCGAGCCCCAAGTGGTGCCGTGGACTCCAGACATGACGCCTTGGCAGGATAATCTGCGCCACCGAGATATTTGGTGTGGCTACTTGCCAGCCCTGTGGGAGGATTACTGGCCAAACATTGCGCAGTTCATCGTCTTCACTGTTTTTACCAGCACCGGGGACACAGTTCGCCTGGCCTGGCAGGGCCTCATCGGCACAGCATGCGCCTGCATGAATCTGCAGTCCCTCTATCTAAAATCAGATCCAACTCGTCTGTAACCATTGTGAGTGCCTATGACTTCTTGTTTGTGTTAAGGATGATGTGCTGGTTCTATCCTGGAGGAGCTCATGGAGCTCATTGTGGAGGTGATGCTGATTGCGTCCCGACTGCCTACAACCCTGTGGTGTGTTGGATTGACGTGCTGGGAGTACTGTTCTTGTTCCTCGTGTCGCGGGCCAACGAGAACACCATCAAGTTCGGGATGTCGTGGCATGTTTCCTTCATGATGGATTTCATGAACCCGACGAAGATACTTGGAGCCATAAGGCCAATAAGCCAAGCCATCCTGCGTTTAGTCCCCTTCGTCATGCCTCCCCCAAGGAAGCTGCCTGGTGGAATGCTGGAACATCTGAGCGGTGTAAACATTTGGTCAAACGACCTGGTTCCGGATATCTTGCTCACATCGGTTGTTGGTGCCGTCATTTCCATCCTGGCGACAATTATTCCCCGGGTCTTCTTCTGCATGACACCTCTTGCGAATCGGGTGTGGGTTTCCCGGAATTCTTTGGCATGCGCACAGCAGATTGGTGATGTTTGGAAAGAAAGCATAGAGTGTGGGCCTAAGCATACCTCAACTGCGTGGGTTCATCCGTGTAGCGGCAGCGAATTCTTGCCCAGAGTGAGATGCATTTGTGCGTGACCAAGTTACCTGTGTGGTGACAAGTCAAGTGCCAAAAAGTACCAGCTGCAGCGGAAAGCACCGCCCTTATCTGATGTAGGAAGCTAAGCTGCCAACGACATGTCCAAATTTTTCTTTGCCCCAAGATCGACTCCGTTCGAGAGAAGATCACAACTACCAAAAGCCAGGCGCCGTGCTTCCGAGCGAAGTTATGAAGTCGAAACGAACCGCAGAACCGCGCAGGTCGAACAAGCATGGTGGGAGACGTTCCAATGTGGATCACCCGAGGAGGTTCGATTGAAGCACTACGTCTTCCTGTCAGGCCCAGAGTTTCAGACTTCTAACTTGTGGGGTCAATGCAGGTTCTGGTGCTTCGACCCAAGACTCGGAGAGCGCATTCTTGTCAATTCTGCAAATGTGAGGCGTGGAAGGCGTACAGCGTACTATGTACGCTCTAGCAAACTGCATCTTGTACGAAGACTTCACTGGGCCCCACAAGGAGTTTGTTGCGAAGGTCCACCACAGCGTGCGAGCGCTGCACTATCAGGCCTCTCTCCTTACCATCACTTGTTCACAGGCTGCGGCTGATGGTATCATCGATGAGGAAGAGGTAGAGAAGATAGAAGACCAAGAAGAAAGTGTGAGGAAATGTCAGCAGGATCTCCTTTACAAGTTTCACGAAGCCGTGCCCACTGCCATTTCTGCCAGTCTTGCAGAGGAGATCACATTCCTATTTGCCCTTGCATTCTGGGCCTCCACCACAGAAGACCTGGCGGGAGTTTTGGTGCAACATAAGCCTGCAAAGAGCTGGATCAATGTTCTGAAGCAGGGCCTCCAGGACACCTGGGGCCACGACCGCATCAGAGAGACAAATCACCTTAAGTTTGTTTTTCGCAACTTCATCCCGATCTCCGTCTGTTACATCCTGGCCTATGCCCTTCCTTCTAGCTCCGTCTTCGTGCAGTACTCTGCCATCATGCCCAACACGCTCGCGTCCTCTTGGCTGCATCTTAAAAGGGAAACTGGTGCTTTGGGCACACTTTGACCTGGGCCTGGGCACCGAGGCTACTGATCACGCGGTTTTCTGGATCTGCTTTTACCAAGAACATCCACAGGACGCTGGGAGTCCTCCTTGGCAAGTTCTGGCCAATTCTTCTCAAGGCATCCTGGATGGCGTGGCCTTGTCAGTGACACGCTTAGGCAGGTCTGGATGCTCGCACAATGTCGCACAACTGCTCAAAGGAATTGCGCAAGTGCATGTGACCCGGCCCGGCGGCTAAGGTCCACTCAGCGTGGCATTCTGCAGCTGCTTTGCCTCTTTTTCTTCGTTGGCGGGTCGAGCTACGTCTACTACAGCTCCAAGACCTGGAGCACGATTGCAGTGCTAGTAGCCGGCTACGGTGTGTATCCGCTCATGATACCATGCGAAAGCGATGTTTCCGAAGACAGCTACTATGCCTCGCTGTACAAGGAGATCGGACAGGTGACGGTAGCGATCATGCTCCAGTTTGTCATCGAATCGGCCTTGCACGCCACGTCCCCGGCAGAGCTGGCGATCCGGAAATTGGAACAGGCGGTGGATGCCATCCAAAGTGGCTTCCACGGATTCTTCACCGGCGATTTGGAGATGATGAAAAAAGGACTCGACGCCGAAAACTTCCTGAGTGAAGCGCGTGCCCTGGCCGCGGAGGCCGACCCGAGCGTGCAGTTGGCCCCCGGCTGGCAGGTGCCCTTCAAACTGAGGCTCTACAACATGTCCCTGGACGTCATGGACCAGATCAAGTCCGACTTTGTCATGCTTTGGACGGCCTGCATAGACCAGCAATCCTTCCGAGAGACGGGGGAGCCGTCGACGGAGGTGCTTCATATGCTGAGCCAGAACGAAAACCTCAGGAGGCTCTTCAGCTCGCTAGAAGGCCAGGGTTCGAATCTGCTGCATGCAAGGTTCCTGCAGTTGTTCGGGTTCGAGGTGTGCCCAGAGGAGGTTGTCTGTTTCTTGTGGTGTGAGTAAATTCGACCTTTTTCCGGGTCGTTTCACATGTCGTGACGCCTGGGCCTCTCACAAGACCGCCAGAACCCTACTGCTCCCACTACGATTAGCCTGCCATATGCCGCCAAGCCCCCCGCCAAAGAATGCTCCACACTTCCATGAGAACCGGCTTGGGATGTTTGGGGAGGCAGGCTGACTCGTACCAAGCTGCGTCATACAACAAGCTTCACACAGGCCAATCGCCCTACATAGCGTGAGTGGAGAGCATCAAAGGACCATCGCCTAACATAACTCCCCTGCTTCCCATAACACTCCCACAATGCGGCTGTACCACCCCCATAATAGCATCCTTATGGAAGCCGTGTGGAAAGCTCTTTAGGAGTGGTATGTAAGTTGGAGAAGCGCCCTTCCATGCAGGGAACAATGAATGAAAGCCCGAACATCAGAAAGTTTCCCTGAGACAAGACGTGCACACATGTGCGCACATGTGGCCAGGTCACACTGCAAACATCAAGACGTGCCTCCTCAAGACCTTGAGACACTCGTCAGAGACCGCACTCGACGATTCCGAGCAGCTACAGGATGAGGTAGTCGCAGTCTCCTTTGATACGGTCTTTCCGGAGCCTGTGCGCAACAAGCTCTACCTATCCTTGACCCAAGACATGCCACTTAGCTTGTAGTGCTGGTTTCACAGGGCCTCGAAACGCAACTTGCAATCCCGTGAGGCGGAAGATCGACAAGGAGACGCCCCGGAATGTAGTGAGTGACCCACAGGCACGCGCAATTGTTGCAACACGTGCCGTGGAGAATGCCATTCGCCACCTGGAAGATGTATGTTCGCTGATCATCGGTGAAGATATCTTCTAAGTGGCTGCTTATTGTAATGTAGGACCGGAGCGATTAATGTGGCAATGTCCACGCTGGTCCGGCCTGGCATTCGTCATCTCGGCAGGTGCCGTGCACAGGGTGAGATATTGTGACAGCCACAGGAGTCTTTGCCTGTGGGCTGTGAGTATACAGTGACCATGATTGGCCGCCGGAGGGCCGTGGTCCTGATTGCTTTGAACGCTAATGACTTCCGGCGCTAGGAAAGAGGAACATGGCATTAGGAAATACATTGCTGATCATTACTGATGCGAGTTTTCGAAAGTCGCAAAGCGGAAAGCTCTAGGCATGCACAGCTGAGAGGCTGGGACCTCGAAGGCTGCTTGAACTCTTGCAGTGTGTGCTGGGGATCGACTGGATCAAGCTCTACATCGACAGTTCAAGGAGGAGTCAAGCCTGATCCGATTGCATGTCGATGCAGCTGCGCATTCCGAAAGCCTCTACCACAAACGATGTAGACTGTACTGTAGCTTCTTGCCTTCATGACTCATGGCAATGCATGCAGAAGGGCAGCGTGTCCCGGTCGCCTTTCAGGCGGAGTTTCAGAGAGCGACAAAGGTTGGGGGGAGTCTGCACACAGCAGGTGACCGTCATTGGGAACCGTGGTGCTGGCAAGTCCGCATTGATTCGAGCTGCTTCCGTCGACAACGACGGAGCGCATGAGGCGATATGTTGCTGCGCATGAGACAGCTTACAGCTTCAGCGCATGAAAGTGTTATGAGGTCGGAGATGGAGTACAGCTCCACAAGTTGGCACGCCGCTTCTGCACATGGGGCTGGGCTCGAAAGCAATCACTGAGGCATGTTTCTACAACTCCTTCTCTGTGGTGGCTGACTTTGTGGAAATGCCGCCCGATGCCGGGGCCTGAGGTGGCACGGCGTTTGCATGCACTCGTCAACTTCCACAAGGATCGGTATTACACTCTTCTACCATACTTCGGTGTGGTTCCAAGTTCTGCCCCACGAAGCACAGCAGGGACTGCATGGCATACTTTCGCTTGAGAGGTGGATCAGCTGCCTGCATCGTCTTGGTGGTGAACATACAGGACGGGGCCTCACTTCCGGCGCGATGGTCTGCCAGTGACGGCCTGCAGTGAGGACGTGAGCGGCCACGCTGCCGCAGACCCAAACAATGTGCATTAAAGACATAATTACTCCTTTCCGTAAGAGGTTCCAAAGTGGCTGTTTTCAGGACATGTGCAACAGGCTTGCTGCACTTGGAGCGCCTCCGCCAATGTCTTGGGCATTTGTCACAACGAGTCCCTGAATTCCCCGCCGCGTTTCTTGATGTCTTGAGGCCTTGCGGCCTTCTGGTTGTGCAGGGCTCTCTGCCCTCTGGCGCAGCCTCTGGGGAGGCCGCAAAGACAAGATCCTGGCAAAAACGAGGGCAACCCAGAAAGTCATGTTGGGACTAGAGGATACTGGTTCTGGTGCAATCGGTCCAGAACTGCAGGGTCTGAACAAGCGAAACGGAAGTATGAGTGCCTGCAGAGATCCCTCGGCATACCTGTGCACCACCCTCAGGCTCCTGCAATCATGCAATGACTAAGTGTGCTTTCTGCAGCTGAAGTTCAGCTTCCTGTTCTGGATTTCCAGGAGAGGCGACGCCTGGAGCCTCTTCGGGATGTTGCAGCACGCAAGAGCCTCCAGAAGCCACAGTTTGAGCCCCTCGGCCCTCGTTCCTTCGGGCCCTTGGAGGCTGGGGGTTGAAGTTTCTGCGCTTCGAGACGCTGGAACAACTGGGCCGTGCCCAGATCTTCCAGTCTGCCAGGATCCCCAGGTGTGTCAGGTGTGCTGTTGCCACTGGTGACTGCTGACTAGTGGGCAGTTCGCAAGGTAAGTGGTCCGTTCCCGTGATGATGTAAAACCCGTGCGTGGCATTCACTTGCTGCTTGAAGACTTTCAGGTCTGTGATTTGGTGCTTGGAGTTCCAGCCTCAGTTCCAAACTTGAATTGATCCAGCTGAATCAGACTGAGCTGGCAAGGATCGCGACAGTAAACCCCACACACTCGAACTCCAGGCAAACCCTGGTGTGAGTTCTCACGAGTGATATCAACTCCAATCAAAGTCAGAGACTCAGAGGAGGCATCAAAGAATGTAAAATGTTGTGGGAGGTCTTCAACAGGCTCGAGTTCCCTT